GACTTTTGCCCATAACTCGGAATCCTTGTGAAAATGCCAGCGTCCAGTTGTTGGGTGGCGGAATGTACAGGAACTGGAACCTGTGCCCTATGTAGATGTACAGATTGCCTACTGTTTTAGACTGTGGGGTACGCTCCCTAAACAATATGCCACACTTCTTGTCCCCTCCTGTATTCAGTCCTCAGGCTCATTTCCAGAAAATGTTCAAGGTCCAAAAGTATTTTAGTCAATACCGACCATTCACTCTACATTGTGTGGTGCATAGGTTATTGAAAGTTGTGGTATACCTTTTCCATGGAAAAGGTCAGAAAAACGAAGTCAAAAAAAGACAAATGTGGTTGAGGATGTGTGCAGACTTCTAATATGTGCGAATTAACCTGAACTTTTAGGTTGTCCAATAATTTTTGCCCATTTTCGAAAGTTCCGTGTGTAGTAAACTGCAGAGAAGTGTTGACATTATGTGGGAGAGTAACTTTGATTACAGGCCTATCAGCGATCAAAACACCCACAAACCATAGATCCGACCATACGCCGAAGACTGACTGAAGGTAAATCGTGTGACTTCAGAGTAAGCTCGCAAAGCAGGCATGACTCGGAGGGTTCCTGCGACGGAGACTCCCAAACTATACCTCTTTGATAATGGTTATTTCCTCACCCTCCGCCTGCGACGTCTTACTCAGCCTAGGTCTGAGGACGCCCTCTTCTGCGATTACAAATGCTGACGCAGCCCCTCAACTCTGGAGCTTTTTCTGGGAGCACCCCCCAAAGACCATCATTCACACCAAACATCGCGCTGGCCATTGCGAAATGGCTTTTTCAGCGATTATGAGAAGCTTTTACAGAAGTAAATAAGTGCGGTGATGAATTCCTTTGAGGCAAAACGACCATGCAGCATGTTCTCAATGAAACAAGAGTTCAACAATCTACTCTCAAGAAAAAAGGAATTTCTGGCACGACAGCGACGTTGTTCGCTACTGATCGAGCCGTTGAAAACGGAGGACAATCCGCTGATTCCAGAGTGAGTAAAATGTTTGTCTAAATTGATAGATTCACACAAGCGCCGGCAGCGATATCAATCTAGCGTCTGTCAGCGCCTGCCAGCGATCAGCGGCAGCCTGCTGGTAGAGAGTATGGGGGACAGGAGGGTGCAGCTGTCTGATACCCTCCTATCGCCTCATACTTACCAGCTGTCTGCCCCTCTATCGCCCCATACTCTCCACCACGACCGCTGCTGGTTGCTGGTAGACGTTGGCGGACGATGGCAGACGCTAGATCGATCTATACTTCCCTAGCCCTCGAGACGCTGGTGGACGCTGGTAGACGCTAGATCGATATCTATACTTCCTAGTCGCTGACGCTGCCGGACGCTCAGGCCGCTGGAGGTCGCTGGTGGATGCTGGCGCAAAGTATAAACGCACCCTAAGATACTGCTTTCAGGTTCTCAAACTTCTATCGCCGTGTTTCCAATGCACCAATGGCACCCGAAGACCACGCAGCACAATTGGCGTTGATCGAACAGGTCATTCAAGAGTTAGTTATTGCTAGCCTTACTTATCAAAGCAACCTAATTATCACCCTATTAAGTAAAAAGTTGTTGAAGGACCAACACTAAGCTGCTCTTGACATTAGGCATTTTCTGAGCTAGGCGCAGTCACTTGGACCATTGTGCCATTCTCGCACTTCTGTGGTGGCGAAGAAGAAGAACGCACCAATCAGAAAACGCAATAGCCCAAGTGCCACCGCCCATATGATCTGAGCAGGGTGTGTATGAAATAGCTCACTCTCATTTATTCAACAACTCACGTGGCTATACTGGCGTGTTTCAGATCGATAATAATTGAATGGCCAAAACTTGTCGAGGGAACGTCGTCAATGAGCGAAACCGTCGAGATCGACATGGCACCGCTTATTCATCGGGCTCGCAGTGTCATCAAATGTCGTACAAGTCATCCTACCATGAGAGTGAAGTAGGTTGCCCTATGGGTATTGCATGTGCTACTACTTGCTCCAGTTCTACTCTCACTATCCTGTGAGTATCATAATAGTTTAGAGGAGATGGAAGCTTGAACAGTTACAGTCTTGTTTGCTGCAGTGCTGGGACGAGTCAAGGGACTGCGTTCGGCGGGGCGTCACCCCTCCCCCTATCCAGTTGTTGAAACGGTGCAAGCGACAGCGATGCGGCTGGCGCTGGTCTAAACCTAGCTCTTTCTGACACACCCCAGCATCCACAGCGAGTAAGGCTGAATGGAAGCGCAGTCTGAAGATACAAGCAGCACAGAAAGCACGCAAGAAATAATTTTACGCTACCCCTGCA